ATCAAGGAAAGAGAGAGGAAGAAAGAATACCCAGGTATAAAAAATAAGAGTAGCCAGGCATAGTAGTGCACACCTGTAATCCCAGCAATTTAGGAAGCTAAAACAGAAGGATCTCAAGTTCAAGGCCAGCCTCAGCAATTTATTGACACCCTGTCTCAAACCACTCAGGTGATGGTGCTCACCTATAATCCCAGTGGCTGGGCAGGCTGGAACAGGAGGATCACAAGTTCAAGGCTAGCCTAAGCAATTTAGCAAGGCCCTAAGCAAATCATTGAGATCCTATCTCTAAACAAAACACAAAAAAAGGGCTGGGGATGTGGCTCAGTGGAAAAAAAACACCTTTGGGTTAAAAAATCCCTAGTATTTAAAAAAAAGGAAAAAGAATGAAAGTAGAGCTGGGGGTGTAGTTCAGCAGTAGAGCACTTGCCTAGCAAGTRGGTGGCTCTGGATTCAGTTCCCATCACCACAAAAATTATTATAATAATAAAGAGCAGGGATAACTATARACCTTAAAGAATGATATAAGGAGCACATTCTCGGCAGCACAAGGGTTTGAGCCCAGGTATTCAAGGCCAGCCTGGGTACTATAGCAAGACCCCATCTCTTTAAAAAGTAAAAAAAGAATAATATAGGGCTATTATGAGCAACTTTATGTCAAGTTTTGACAGCTTAGATGAAATGGACAGATTCTTTGAAGAATACAACTTTCTTAAACCAACATAGAGAAAATAAAATCTCAGTATTTGCTAATGAAGTTGGAACTATAATTTAAAATCTCCCCCAAAAATAAATGTAGACTTGCTTTACTGGTAAATTTAACTATGCATTTAGGAAGAAGATAATTTTTACTAATACTATACGCTCTCTTTCAGAGAACTGAGGAAGAAGAAGTACTTAACAAGATAACCAAGGTTAGGTAACTGAGATAACCAAATCTGACAAGATCATTATCTTATGAGAAAAAAAATTACAGATCTGTGTCCCAGAAACAGTCATAAAACATAAAAATCTTTGACAAAATATTAGTAGAGCCAGCAATTCTGAACAAGGAGATTATGTAATGATAAAGTGAGRTTTATCTCAAAACGGTAAAGTTGTTTAATGCTTATTAACAAAATCAAGAGTAATTGTAGCCATCTCAAGGGATATCAGACAGGCATGTGATTCAACACCCAGAGAATTTCCTAAATTATATATCACTTCTGTAAATGAAAAACAAGAACTAACATAATGGTGAAATGATGGAAGTTTCCCCCTGATGTCAGAAATAAAGCAAAGGCAAAATTATCCCTTACATTAAGACAAGTAAAAGATATTAAAGGCTTAAAGATGGAAAGAGAAAACTAAAAATGCTTTATTTTAGGGTGATGTGACTGTGTAGAAATTGTAAAGGAATATTAAAATCACTAGAATTAATGTGTGAATTAACCATAAAAGGTTAATGTACATGGTAAATATATGGAAGTCTATTGTACTCTAGAACAAATAGTGACTGGCAAACTTGCCTATATGGCAAGTCCAGCTAGCCTTCTATTTTTATAAAGTTTTACTGGAACACAGCTATATTCATTTACTTACTTGTTGTTTATGACTGTTTTCTCACCTTCAAGGGAAGAATTGAGTCATTATGCTGGGATCATATGGCCTACTTATTGATACCTGATATAGAACAGCTTATTAGGAATTGAAATGTGTAATAGCACTGCTTAAAATAGCATCAATAAACTACAAATATAGCTAGGTGCAGTGTTGCATGCCTGTAATCCCACCAACTCAGAAAGGAGAAGGGTTACAAATTTGATGTCAGCCTCACCAGTTTAACAGGACTGTCTCAAAATTATAAAAGGGGCCCCAAGCAGTGGCACATGCCTATAATCCCAGCAGCTGTGGAGGCTGAGGCAGGAAGATTGSGACTTCAAAGTCAGTCTCAGCAAAAGTGAGAAGCTAAGCAGCTCAGTGGGACTCGGTTTCTRAATAAATACAGAAATGGGCTGGGGATGTGGTTCAGTGGTCAAGTGCCCCTGAGTTCAATCCCCAGTACCCATAAAAAGAAAGAAAGGACTGCGGATATAGCTCAGTGGTAAAGTGCCCTGGGTTCAATCCCTAACACTGCCCCCGCGCCCCTCCCCAAGCCGCACACCACACCCCCACCCCCACACCCGCAAAAAGGGATTTTTAGCAAGTTATTTTTAAATCTCTGTAACAGTAGTTCTTGCTGGAGAGGGAGTCATTTGACCCTCCTTCTTAAGGGKACATTTGCTGATTAAATGTATAGAAATACTTTTGGTTAAATAAAACTCAAAAAAAACTGAAAAGATTRGAGATCTATATAAATAGAAAATTAATCCATGCTTATGGATTGAAAGAATCAGTATATTTCAGATGGTACCTTCCGCTAAATTGATTCATTGTAATCCCAATCAGAATCCTTCAGATATTTTAAAAATAGAAATTGTCATGCAGATTCTAAAATTTATGTGGAAATTTTTTAAAAAGAGTATCCTCGACAATCTTGAGAAAGTTTAAGGTTTGTGCAACCCAATTTCAAGACATATTATAAAGCTACAGTAATCAGAACTTTGTTGGCCTAAGGATAGACAAATACATTGGAAGTGAAGAATAAAGGWTATAAAAGAGGTAAATCCATCAGATACTGACTTACAAAAAAGGCTCCAGTTTAGCTCGAAGGAGAAAGGAACGCCACTTTAACATATAGTGGTATAGCTGCTGAATATCTATGGAAAATATAAACCTTGACCTTACTTATTCATAAAAAATATTTTGAGGTATATTATAGGCTTAAATCAGAATTGGGGTAGAAATAATTGGTGTGGTGTGACCAGAAACTTGAAGAATTTGAAGATGTAGAATGCTTACTCCAGGGGGCAGCAGAGGAAGATTGATTGAGGTGAGGAAGCACAGAGCAGCATAGGGCTAAGAATACACATTATCAAAGTAGCTTATGTTTTGGTCATTGCTCAAACTAGAGCTAATGGGATCGATTCAGATCCCCCATGGAATTCTTTCTTTTTCTTTTATTCTTTTTTTTTCTTTTTGAGATAGGGTCTCACTAAGTTGCAAATGCTGGCTTTGAACTCTGAAATCCCCTTGCCTCYRCCTCCCAAGCTGCTGGAATTACAGGCATACACCACTGCCCAGCTCCCCCACAGAATTCTTTAAAGTGCTAATCACAGCATTCCCAGGAATATTGTAGGAGTTTATGTTTGGTCTTTTCSTGACCTGGCTAGAATGGCACTGCCTAATTGAAGTGCACCTCCAAAGGAGTCTTAGTGACTCTGAGATACTGTGCTATGTCCTGAWGCCCCATTTTAAGAGAGAGATAAACAAGTAGAATTAATTAAATTGGGATCAGTAAGGAAGAGTAGCTTAAAGACCATGTAAAGTTAGTAATGGTTGAAGGAATGGAGTTGCCTACCCTGGGAATGAACAGACTGCAAGGGGCAAGCTGTTGTGGGCTAGACTGGTTAAAAGAAGGAAAGTGATCAGAAAAGAGGTAGACATATAAGAGGGGGGCCTTATAAATTGAGATAGTAGTTCATACTTGTATCTTGACAGTAATAATGTGATTATATTTATATTCCTTAATTTTATTTTATAAAATATTCTAGTTATCATCTCTATTGAGTTTAGATGATGAGGATGGGGAACTATTGAAATAATATTAAATGGGGAAAAAACACAGTATATAAAAAGTGAATAATCCAGAAGTTCTGTAAAAACTTATAGAGGATCAACATAACCAAGCATGGGAGATAACTTGATCCATTCCAGGGACTGTATTACCCAAACTTTATGTGGCTGTTTTAAGCAGAATGCAGCTCCACAATCCCATTTTAAGGTGAAGCATTGAATCTGGGATCTTTTGTCTGTTGCCTTGGAAATGCCGAAGAAGCTTCTGATCTGTTAATTTGGCCATTTGTGCAGATACTTGGTATCAGAATAATTGAACTTAATGTTGGTATCAAATGTACCATTTCTACTACTTCTTTATCTGATGTGTATCCTTCCTGTTGCATTTGCACCTGGGACCCTTCTACATGTGTATAAAAATTGTTTGCATCCAAGTATCCAGGGCTTTAAATTGACGTTTTCACCCTACATTGTCATGGTTTTCCAAACTATTGTTTTATTTTATTTGTGTGATTATTTATTTATTTTTGATGTCAAGAYTGAACCCAGGGGTGCTTAACCACTGAGCCATATCCCCAACCCCTTATATGTTGTTTTGCAATTCAGGGACTTGCCAAGTTACCTATGACCTTGCTGAGTTGCTGAGGCCRGCCTTGCCTCTGCCTCTCAAATCACTGGGATGACAGGCATGCACCACCATGCCTGGCTTCAAACAATTATTTTATACACTTAATTTTTAGAATTATTAAGTTGTATAAGTGTTAATAGAATGGAATAAGCAGACAACATTAAGATGATATTTTATATAATTGAAAGGTTTTATTTTTGTCTTGTTTTTGTTGTTGTTGTTGTTGTTAAAAAAAAAAAAAAATCTTCAAGCTGGAAGCTCCTTGACATCTTTTGGAACAGAAACATCAAACAGTGGTACCTTGTCCCAAAGTAGTGCAGTTGGTTCTGCATTTACACAGGATACAAGATCTATAAAAACACAGTTATCTCAAGGTAAGCCCTTTTTTTTTCCCCTTCAGATATTTTTCATTCTAAATTTTTATAGTGATTTTTTTACTCTCTCTGAGCTTTTGCAGTTTGTAAATTACATGTATAATTTCTATTTAGTTCTTTTAATTTTTTTTCTCCTAGTTATTGTATTATAATTAATGTGTCATTGAATAACATACTATTTAGACTTTAAACTTCTTAGATCATGAAACTGAATGGTGAACATTCTCTATGTTTAATGTGTTTTTTAAAGCAATTATGTAATTTGTGAATGGCACTTACATATATCAAATCAGTACCAGATTTACCACTGAAGATGAACTAGCCTATATAAATTTGAAATACTATCTGAGAAAAATGAACTATTCATTGTACTGTTGCATCTTCCCTAACATTCTAATAGGATGTAGAGCAGTCATTCTCAGTGTGGACCACCCACAACAATGTCATCTAGAGCACTTCTGGAAAATGTAGGTCCTAATTGAGACCTACTACATCAAAATCGCTGGAGCAGGGATCTGCATTTTAATAAGCTTCTTAAAAGATCCTGTTTTATTTTTAAACTTTTTCCATCAGCCAGTCTCATAACCTTCAGTAGTCACAAGATTTCAGTCAGCTTTTTTCCATTGCTAAAGTGGGTATTTATTGGTTCATTGCTTTACATGAATGTTTACTCTTTAATAGAGCAATGTAAAGTTATTTTAGAAAGATGCTGTAATCAGGGCTGGACTTGTGGCTCAGTAGTGGAGTGCTCTCCTCACACGTGTGAAGCRCTGGGTTCGATCCTCATTACTACATAAAATAAATAAAGGTATTGTTTTTATCTGCAACTAAAAACAAATGTTTAAAAAAGAGATGCTGTAATCACAGAATTAATACTTTTGTTATCAATGACATAAAAATACAATAAACATAAGGAAAAATATAAAAATAATCATAAACTTAATACTCAGGAATAATATTTACATTTTGTGTAAGAATTAAAATTTTCAAAATGTTTGCAGTGCTCTTAACATAGTGCCTCAGACAGCACATGCTCAGTAGATATCAGCTATCTTAATCAGTAGTCAATATCAAACCTAACATAGAAATCCCAGAAGAATTCTTATTAATAAATACAGATGCCTGCTATCACTACTACTCAGCCTTAAAAAGTTTTAGCTAAATCAGGAATATATGAGGCAATAAGAAAGCAACATAAATATTGAAATTAGCATTATTTGTCAATGTTAATTTTTTACTTGGAATTGAGAATTCACTGAAAAACTTAGAAGTAGGAAGGGACTTAAAKTAAAGGTAAAATACCCCCAAATCACTTAATTTATACAATATAATATAATGAGGATTAAAGAAAAGGCTCACAACAGTAAGAAATAGGAAATTRTGTATATGATGCATAATAAGAAATGGATCCACTTATATGAAGAAAAATGCAAAATGTAACAGAGTGACATCAAAGAAGTCACATATAATGAGAAAGACATCTTGTTCCTTGGAGAAAAATTCAGTATTGAGAAGACTTTACTTCTTACTAATTAAATTTATTGCACTTTTAATCCATTCAAGTGGAATAGTAGAAGAACTTAAACAGAAAGTTTTTATTTTTGTAGGGTTGGTTTGGGGGTGGGTGCTGGGGCTTAAGTGAACCTAGGAACACTCTACCACTGAACTACAGCCCCAGCCCTCTCCCCTTTTAAATTTTTTAGTTGTAGATGGACGCCATACCTTTATTTTATTTATTTACTTTTGTGTGGTGTTGAGGATCAAACCCATTGCCTCACACATGCTAGGCAAGTGCTCTACCACTGAGCCACAGCCTCAGTACCCCCAGCTCCCATTTTTAAATTTTTATTTTGAGTTAAGAGTCTTGCTAAGCTGCCAACACTGGCCTCAAACCTCAAATTGATCCTCCTGCCTCTTCCTCCTGAGTTGCTGAGATTACAGGCTTATATCACTTTACCCAGCAGAAAAAATGTCTTTAAAAATAAACTTGGACATAAATAGCAGGACATGGAAGCAAAAACAAAAAGAATTTAATAGATGATAAAAGTATTATTATTTTTAAATTTATGGAGAAAAACTGGTTGTTCCAGTGAATGGCGTTGGGGCAGACAGTAGTTCCTGATCATTTAGAGGATTTTGGTGGGAGGTTATTTCAGGTATAGGGATTGAAYGCAGGGCTTTGCACATGCCAGGCAAGCACTCTACTACTAAGCCATATCCCCAGCCCAAAAACTTTTTAAAAATAAATTTAAATGTTAAATTTTAGGTACAATTTTATTAATTAAAGTTGGAGGTATATTTATATAAAATTGTTAAAAAGAAGGGCTGAGAGTGGCCATTTTAATCTCACCAACTGAAGTTTCTTAATATCACAAAATTAAAACACCTGGAATTTTCTTTAAACTATGATAAGAATGTGAGGACACATGGGGCTGGGGTTGTAGCTCAGTTGGTAGAGCGTTTGCCTTGCATGTGTGAGGCACTGGGTTCGATCCTCAGCACCACATAAAAACAAATAAAATAAAGGTATTGTATCTGTCTACAACTAAAAAACATTTTTTTTAAGTGAATTTTTTAAAAGAGAATGTGAGGACACAAGAGGATGTATTTATTTATTTTTACTCAATATCTTCTGGATTTATTCCTATATTATGCYCACATTACCTACATTACCCTATTTATAGCAAAACTGTCATCATGATTACTAAACTATATTTGTAAAAAAAAAAAAGAATGTTTTAAACACAAACAAATTAATTTGTTACTTGCTCTGATTGCCCCATTATATGTACTTCTCTAGTGCTTCTGAATGACAGGATCTTTTCTCAAAGAAAGGGTTTAATAAAGAGCTTTAAAAAGATCATTTTGTGTAGTAAAATTAACTAYAATATAGTAGAATTATATTTTACTGCAATGTAATAAAATTAACTATATTGTATAAATATAAAATGTTATAAAGTTAACTGTAGCAAAATACTTTCAAAAAATATTTACAAGCTAGGTATGGTGGTGAGCACCTATAGTCCCAACTATTGGGAAGTTGAAGCAAGAGGATTACTTGAACCCAGGAATTCAAGGCCATCCTGGGCAATACARTGAGACCCTAGCTCCAAAGAGTCTTTTCATTTTATTTATTTGTTTTTTGATTTTTTTGTTTTATGAATGATTATAAAATATAAAATGTTGCTCATATGAGTCACCAAGGTTTCCCATTATGATCAATGGAAAAACTGGTGTTTCTATTAGTGATAACTTTATTTTTAAATGTTTTCATGATGATCTAGATCTAAATTTTTGGCCAAAGTGACTTTGCCATTAATGGCTAGAAATGGTGATACACTTTTGTAATTGCACACTTTACATCACTGTAAACTAATAAATTGTCCCTGAAGTATCTTGAGTACACATTAACCAGTGTTTGCCAGTGCTCAACAGTTTACCATTTGTTTGGAGCCTACACATAGACAGTAGCATACTTGGAAATGTTTTTGCATAAAATGAGCATGATTTTTAAGTAAAACATTATATTGTATAATATCATGAAATATGAGAGCTCCCTGAGCAGAGACTAATAGCAAACACTGTAGGGGCAAAAAAAAAAAAAAAAGGCATAATAGTAATACCTAGTGTTGTATTCTTCAGTTAAAACTATGACTAGGTTCTGACCTCATAAAATGAAAAACATTTGTAAGTACAAACCCCCATGTAAAAGTAAAAACTTGCTTTTAAAGATCTCTTGAGCTTTAAAATGGCAAAGAATTAGTATAGCTACTGTGTAATTATCTGAAGGGTTTATTTTTGTTTCTCGCCTTTAATGCCCAAATACATAAGGTATATAAAAAACACCTACTTCACTTTCTTTAGTAGTACTTCATGAAGAGGTACTGCATTAGTCATCTACAGAAAATACGAAACATTTAAGTGTGTCAGTATTATCTTGTGGTGGTTATTATTGGCATAGCCTTCATTTTTCCTACCTTTAGCATGATCTTTGATATCCCAGGAATTTTGTATTGAGCAACAATTTTTGAGAAACTTTATTCCACTAGGTAGAAACACAGATAAAAGTTGTGGAAGTGTAAAGGGTCTTTGTTTTGTTCTGTTTTAATGACCAGACTGCTGAGCTTAATGGCACATGCCTGAAATGTCAGTCTCAGCAAATTAGTAAGACCCTGCCTCAAAAAATAAGACAGACTGGGGGCATAACTCAGTGGCAAAGCACCCCTTGGTTCAGTCTCCAGTACCAAAAAAAGGAGGAAAAAAATTTTTTAAATGATGACCAGACCAATAAAGATAACYAGTTTTAATTAGTTCACATTTGTGCGAAGAATTTGAATTGTTAGAAATAAAACTAGGGCCTGGGGCTGTAGCTCAGTGGTAGAGTGTTTTCCTCACATTCACAGGGCCTTGTGTTCAATCCCCAGTTCCACGAAAAGAAAACTCTAGATTTTTTTTTTTTTTTAAGGTCTAGGCTATTTTGAAATCCCAGGTTAGGGTAGATGCTTATCTTTTGGTTACATTTTAGGTCGTTCAAGCCCTCAGTTAGACCCTTTGAGAAAAAGTCCAACCATGGAACAAGCAGTACAGACCGCCTCGGCCCACTTACCTGCTCCAGCACCTGTTGGGAGAAGGAGCCCTGTATCAACCAGGCCTTTGCCATCTACCAGCCAAAAAGCAATAGAGAACCAAGAGCACAGGCGAGGTAGAACTTTAGCTTAATTTACTGTTCCTTGATTGACTGATCAACATTTTCACCTCACCTTATTTTCATTAAGAGGATTTACTTTATATGAATAATCCTAGAAGGTTTAAACTGAACTTAATAGAATGGTCAGTCCTTCAAATTTGAGTCAAAGTGGTGGTGGGGTGGCTGTACTTTTTGGGCACTACATAGGTTTTGTTTTGTGGGTTTTCCCCCCATTTCTAATTTTACAGAAGTTTTTGTTTGTATGTCCCGAGTTCTTTTCTCACTTTGCATGTCTCCTTCTATAGCTGAAGTACACAAAGTTTCAAGGCCAGAAAATGAGCAACTCAGAAATGATAACAAGAGACAAGTGGGTAAGTTACTTGGACCTGAAAGCTATATCCTATGCTTCTCAACTGGGAGAGCATATTAAATGTATGATGCATAATTATTATAAAAAAAAATGAAAGGTGGGGATTGTTAACTGTTWAGGATTGTTAACCACAATAGAGTGTCTTTGTGGTAACAGAACAGAACAGTTCTTCATCTTGGTTGTGGTGATGGTTATGCATATCTATATATGTGGTAAAGTGGCATGGACCTATACATATATAAAGACATAACAGAAAATAAGAACATCAAAAACTTGTGGTATCTGAATAAGATCTGTACATAAGCTAATTATATTGTGCCAGTGGCACTTTCCTGGTTTTGATAATGTACAGTGGTTGTGTAAGTATTACCATTGAGAAGCTAGGTGATGGGTATAACGGACCAGTCTGCACWTTTTTTTTCCTTCCATATGTCTATAATTATTTTAAAATGAATAGTTAAAATCAAATATACTCTTTGGCGGGGGGAGGAGGGGGCGAATACTCAATAATAGTTCTTTTTTTTTAAATATTTATTTATTAGTTATTGGCGGACACAACATCTTTGTTTGTATGTGGTGCTGGAGGATCGATGCCAGGCGAGCGCGCTACCGCTTGAGCCACATCCCCAGCCCTCAATAATAGTTCTGAATATCACCTACTAATAGGATTTGGGCATGGTTCTGTTTGTTTTTTGTTTGTTTGTTTACTTATTTTATAATCCATACCTTCCCAAAAGCATCCATTGTATTACTAATTTCAAATTCACTAATGGAAATCAGATTATAATTTTTTTTTTTTTTTAATTTTCGGCGGACACAACATCTTTGTATGTGGGGCTGAGGATCAAACCCAGGCCGCAGGCATGCCAGGCGAGCGCAATACCGCTTGAGCCACATCCCCAGCCCCTCAGATTATAATTTAAAACTCTTCCAAATTAAAAAAGTATAATCATCTTATTTACATAATGGGAAATAAGTAATTTTCTAAATTTTAGAAACATAGATATAATTTTGTGTATGTGTGTAAACACTATCTCRTTTCTCTTGTACATTTTTGAAATGGGTGCTTACAGTGTTGCCCAGGCTTGGCCTTGAATGCCTCAATGGATCCTCCTGCATCAGCCTCCTAAGAAACTAGGACTATACCCAGCTCTGTACATTTTTGTGCTATGAGCTATGGAATTCATAGGTTTTGGTTTGATTTACTATATTTTTCTTTTTCTTTTCTTTTTTCTTTTTTTAATTTGGTAAAAGAGACAGACTCTTCTCTCAAAGTATCTTTCATTGACTTTAAAATTCATCACTCTTCCCCTTCACTAGAGTTCATTTTTTTAGGTTTTATAGACATTATGACCGGAACATTTTTAAGATATTTATTTATTTTAGTTGTGGTTGGACACAATACGTTTATTTTATTTATTTTTATGTGGTACTGAGGATCAAACCCAGSACCTCACATGTGCTAGGGGAGTGCTCTACCACTGAGCCATAATCCCAGCTCTGATTAAATTGTGTGTATGTGTATATATGGTGCTCGGGATTGAACCCAGGGCCTTGTGCATGCGAGGCAAGCACTCTGCCAACTGAGCTATATATATACCAGGCCCAAAACTTTTTTTTTTTAATGGATTTGCCATACTTCCTGGTATGTGGCCAAGTCATTTTTAATAGTAAAGTTGAATGTTTTTTAAAATCCTGCTTATCTAGATATAAGAAGCATCTGGCTATGCTGCCATGGATTGTTTTTTCAAATCCAGGCACTTTGCCAAACCTGAACAGTGAACACAAGCCTACCTTTCACCCTTTAGTCACTCCTTCTTTTGGTACCATGGACTGAACTGGGGGCAYTTTATCACTGAGCCACATCCTCAGCCCTTTTTTATATTTTATTTAGAGACAGGGTGTCGCCAAGTTGCCTGGGACCTCACTAAATTGCTGAGGCTGGCTTTGAACTTGTGATCCTCCTACCTCAGCCTTCAGAGCTACTGGGATTACAGGCATGCACCACAACAACTATTGCCTTTAGGCACTTCTGACCTTTGTTACTATTTATTGAACTTTTCTCATAATTATCAACTTCATACTGCTTTGTTCTCTGCATTTTTTAGTTAATTTGTGTCAAACGCTATTCCATATTCCTCTAWTTTTTTTCTTCTTATTCTTGTGTTTTTTCTCTCAAGTTTCCTCAGTAGATTATACTACCTTGTRTTTGTTTATTTTTTTAAATATTTTATTAGTGTTGGTGGACCTTTATTTATTTTTATGTGGTGCTGAGAATCGAACCCAGTGCCTGATACATGCTAGGCAAGCACTGTACTACTGAGCCACAACCCAAGCCCCTTGTAT